TGACAGCACCAGTGTCCTGCATTAGAAGCCATGGGACAAGCCAGAGGGAGCAAACCTTGCTGAGCCAAAGCTCGTCTAGGCAATAACAACTCTGGCTACTCCATCACCGTTCCAGCAAAAGGAGCTAAACCACCTCCACCTCCCTTACTCTCAAACGCAGCTAAATCTCCTCCAGCTTCCTCACTCCAGAACTGCCAACGCTTTTCCCTGCTAATGTTAGAGATCTGCAATGCACTCGCAAGGCACAGTTTGCAGGCTGTCTTGCAAGAGATAGCAACTTCCCAGCTGCCTTGCCACGCGCTATGTTTAATGTGCTAATGGGGCACCCCAAGGTTGGCTGAGATAGAGAATAAAGAAGCGGGCAGATGCTGGAATGTACAACTCAACCGAACAGCAAAACTGCTCGAGTAAATTGCTCAAACAAATTAAGCTTCCGCATTTATCTGTATTTTCCCCAGCTATACAATTCTTCTGGGCAGTAGATCATCAACAGCCACTTCTCTCCCAATTACTCAACTTAAAGTGAAGCCGTCTGGTTTAACAGCATTTTTGCCAAGATGACAACCGATTCTCCCGTTTCTCCCAGACACGAGGTAACCTCACAAATTAATTACGGCTTCATTGGGACTTCATGTTTATTTCAGCATACACAGCGTTAGTGCTTGCTGCTGCTGAAGACTCCTCTAACAAAATCCAAAGATTTATTAGCCATACACAACACACATTTTAAAAAAAAAAATCCCAGGCACACAGAAGGCTATACAATCCCCTAAACAGAGTTCCTTGAACATCTCACTTCTCATTAGCTACAATCACAAAGTAAAAACTAGAAATCATGAAATAAGAGAAAAATATTCACTTTGCTTGTATATAAAGGAAGGAAATAGTGATACTTTAGATATACCATATGAGAGGGATGTCACAGAGTAATCATTTGCCAGAGATAAATACTTGATTTTGTAATACTTCAGATCAAAATATACACAAATAAGGATTTTAGGCCTAAATAATTTAATGCAGCTACTCCTGAGACTGGCTGGCAGACTGTAGACATCCCATTACAAACCAGAATGTTAACCTTCTTTCAACTGAAGTAAAAAGGACCGACCTCAACCGTCTCTCAGAGCTCTGCAGCCAACGATAGAGATAAAAGATGCAGCACAGAAGCACATACTTTAAATGTCTTTTGGATCTACCAGTGAATGATTATTTCCAAAAAAGCAATTTCAGTAAATACAATAGATGTACTGGTATACAGATGTTTTATTCTGCTGTGAAGCAGCCCAAACCGTGCATTCTCCACCCTACCAGCTTCTATAAAGTAGTTGACAAAAAATTAGAAAGTCTGTTGTGGAGCTGGAGGGTCGTACATCTACCAGTGTAACAGTCTTAGGGCCCTCTTATCAGGAAAGGTGCAAATCTCCACGAAATAACAGCAACTGAGAGTTTCCAAAAATTCACAGAATTGGACTTAAAATACTCCACGGAAGGTGGAAATCCCAGTTAACGAGGTAAGCTACCTACAACAACTGGCAAACAGAAGGGAAAGACACTAGGGCGCTTTGTTACAGCAGATTTCAGCACCTTCTTGACAATCTTTATTCAAGAGAGGGTACACGCTGCCCGCTATGCACTCTGGCTTTCTGATTGTTTGTATATTCAATATACAGTTTGGGACTGTTTGTATGTTCTCACATATTTTGGAATATACAAGCAATCAAAAAGCAAGGATAATTAACTGCTTTTGCTGTATCTAACTCTATAATTGTCATCATTCCTTAATTAAGAAAATAGCGTATCAAAACATAGGGGAAAAATAAGAAGTCAAACAACTGTAAAACCCCTTCTTTTTAGAACAGGAAAAACATTTAGATTCAGCAAGTTCTCACTAGAAATATTGCTATAAAGTATTGATTTTTTACCAGACTCAATTGACTGAAAAGTTGTTTGTATAGCAATATTGGCCAAGCCAATATACTGGAACAATTTTGCTACACACAGTAATCAAGTGTATTTCTAAAGTATAATTATACTGTCATAAAAATAAAGCTAAGATACCTCTTCTCCAAGCAATAAAACAGTTGCAGCTGTAAAGAACCCAAATAAATGAAACACATTTTCTAACTAAACATAGCGTCTTCCAAACAGAACAAAAACACCCCCCCTCTTCCCCCTTAAGCCAAGGTTAGCATGAAAAGTGATCAATACTTCAATCTCAATAAACTATTTCAATAGTAGTTAATTCACGTGGAAAGAGAGGCTGAAAATTTTTGCTCAGCGACCTGCGACACGTTATCTTGTTTGCCAAATGCTGATAATATATCAGTGCCATAATGGATATGACTTTGTATAAAGAGCTAGAAAGAAAGAAAAAAAAAAGATACCACATAGACATGGTCGTTCTTTAGATTCAGATCAATACTACACACAGCCTCTTCTGAAACAAACCGACAGCATGGAATGCTGGAAGAGGAAAACAGCCAAACGTTTGCAATTAATTTTATTTGACAAATGTTCATTGATTTACTGGAATAAAATATATGTGGGCTGCTACCTATGACTAGTGCAATCCAGCTACCTGTAACTATTCCATTTTGCAATTTCTTCCTGACTCGTGTAGCACAGATGCTCCTTTGGCCAGGGAGAACAGGCTCCCTTTTTACGAAGGGGTGACTGTTCCAAGGGTAGGAAGTTCTGCCTCTGCTTTGTCCAAAGCACATCACCACGGCATGGTAACGGCCAACTCCCTGCAACAATGGCAACCAGCAGCTCTTCATGGATGAAAGCGTGCATTGGTACAGCTCTTCAAGCCAACATACCAAGAAGCAAATTCGGGAAGATCTGAGAGGAATGCATAGCTTGGAAGCCAGTTTTGGGAGAAATCTGTATTTCGTATTTGTATCCTGCTATTATTTGCATCGCAAAGAAAGTCAAACTTCAGGAACGCGTAAAACATTCACACATAAAACCAGTGCACATTCCCTGGAGCAGTGTAGAATGACACTTGCACTGGAAAAAATGCCGTGAAGTCACTGCAACTGCTAATTTAAAATATGAACGCAATAAAAAGGAAAAAGAAAGGTAGAAACATTTCCCTGATACAGAAGAGGGCTCAAGTTTTTAGAGCCAAAGTTTTTTACTTTCCCAACTGCAGGCAACACTCAACCACTTAACGAAGCAGAACACAGCATCAGCCCACACAATGCAGCAAGTCAACACAGAAGAAGTGCCAGAAGTATCATGCATTCCCTCCTGTGCTATTATCCTCTGCGCCTTGAGTGTTCACACCTCTGTTCCTTCATCACTCCTGCAGACTCTTACTAAAGCAGTATTCATCACAGGAGAAAAGTGTTTTTGCAAAAATATTAAAGAAAAAGCAGGCATGTAACTATACTACCTTTCAGAAATACCAAAAGAAGTAAAAAAGTGCAAGTTTGGCTTTACATAGCATTTTATCCAAATTTTCCACGAGTTTTACAAAATGTGAAATACATACTATGCACATGACAACATTATAAAAGAATGAGATGTTTTTATACCACCTTCTGCACCTAAAAGCACTGCGCCATTGTATGCTCTAAGAACACACAGCAAACGTGGACTTGAGCTGTTCCTTGTGAGCAGGGCAGAAAACGATCCAGAACTGGGTAACAATGACACATGTGGGTTCCCTCACTTTGTGGGATATTTCTTGTCCCTAGCTGTGCCTTAAGTGCCTTCCACAGGGACCAGAGCATGTGGTCTTCCTTGGCAATGCTTCTCCCACCTACATTCACTCCCGGAGCCTCCATCGGTACACGGGGGAGGGAAGCAACCTTCTCTAAATCAGAAAACATCAAGGAGACACCGACTGAGCTGTAAAGTTCAATATTCTCTCCCAAATCTTTCTTACTATCAAGCAAGAAAATAATACTGTTTCTGCAAGTTTCTCGGTCTAGGAATATCTTTCTACAAGAGAACGTCAATGAGATTTCTGAACTACCTTCCATCTACAAGGCTAACCTGCTTTCTGAAGAGTCCATTCAAAGACTGGATTTATTCCTTTAAGGTTTTGGAAGTCCATTTTTATAAACCTTCTGCAAGGAGAGTAATTTTGCAATGTTGTCAGCCAATTAGAAACTAAACTAAATGCACCATAGCTTTTAAAACATTTTAGGAAAAAAAAAGTTAATACCAAAGTTAAAATGTCTAAGGTATAAACAAAATCATAATGGGATGCTGGGTTACTGTATATGGTAAATAGCTCTCTGGAGGAAACCTTTATTACTCCCTCAGGGCTTTCTTATAAAGTATGGGTTTCTTAATTCCTAGTGGAATATTTTTCATACGCCACTGCAGACTATTAAGTACCAGATATTACATTATGTAGTTTAAACTTTGCACTATGCATGAGAAAGACTTTCCTGTTGAGAAAACTATATCTCTGCTATTATAATCTTTACAATATTAAAATTAATACTGGCTGCAGGGTATAAGCTTCACTACCAAAATTTGGGGGAGTTTATCATTTAATATATTCATCAGCCTGTGTGTGAGGCTGCTTTTAAGGGAAGGAAGTCACTGCAACAGTGAAAGGGGTATTTGCTGATTTTGAATTGCTAGAGAAAGGCAGAGCAATGGTGTCATCACATCCCACTGGTGTCATTCTCAGTACCGGGCTGGCAAAGGGCGTGGTAAGCCAGCAAGAATAATGGCATTGCAAATACTGAAGGCAATTCATTATGCTTCAGGACATTTCAAGTTCCACTTCTGAACCATTAACTTGTTACCCAGGAGGGATTCAACACTAAGTATTAAAAAGATAATAAAAATGCACCAGCCCTCACGGCATCCAAGAGCAGACACCTTGTAAATATGTGAAGAGAATTCTTAAAAAGTTTATATTAAGGATTTATTTTACAATCTTTTCTGCATAGCAACAATGGCCCACCTACATCTCAATACAAAAGAGTGCTGCTAAATTTTATTTTCAAAAATTTTAAGTGAAATTTAACACTCACTTGTAGACTGTGCCTCCATTGCCATGACCAAGGATGTCTCGATACCGTATGTCTTGTTCATTCATCTCCACAAGAAAGAAAGAAAAACAAAAGAGATGTCATGCTGTGGATGGAAATGTCAAGGAAAAGCAACTCTAGGCCATAAACAACAAGCAGTCTGGGTCATTTCAAGTTCAGCTGCAAGAACGAGAAGATCAATACAACATTTGCTGTCCAATTTATAAAAGACGATACCAAGGGACAAAGTGATGGAAAGTTTAATGACAATTTGTTTGCCTGGGTCATTTCATTAAAGTTTGATAAAAGGTGTCAAAATGGAATGATATAATATAGCTCAAGAGGGTCAGGTCACAGATACTGATAGGAAAAGGGTCTCCAGAACAGCACATAACCAAAGCCAAAGTTGGAGGTGAATGGAAACAATCCAACAGAAAACTGTCATCTTATGTGCAGCTAGAAAAGTCGATGATTTATTCTGGAATCAGCGTAATTGATACTAATTGAGTGACAGTTCTGTCAGTAGGATTGCTCCATAGCACTTAATTTATATACCTTTTAACTAAAGGAAATATTCTGGGAAAAAAAAACAAACCACAAAAGTCTTGAACTGTTATGCAGGAGAAATAATTTTCCTTGAAATACACAACTAATTGCTTGCCTCAATCTTTCCGCTCACTGGGACAACTCTCCATATATGAAGATAGCCTCAGCTACTCAAGCAGAAGCCTGATACAAGCACTGTACATTGCAAATGCTGGAATTTGGGATCTTCCTGATACAGATTTTATAAAAGCTTACTATACATCACCGTGCTGGATGAGCAATTCAGATGTAAAACTACAGTTCAACCTTCTCCTGTACAAATACAGTTATACAGATCTTCCAGCTAAAGCACCTATTCAAAAAAAAAAAATCACTACAGACATTTTTGGAATGCACACGCATACTTGAAATTAAATATTTTAATGACAGTAAATTCTGGGCTGCATGCATTTGCTATTCCAAAAAGATCTTCTCCATTGCCTGATCATTGTAAATAGTAATGTCTGGGCAAATCCCATTTTTAAAATATACTTTTCTTGGAATTCGCTACCAAATCATTAGCTTGTTTCTATTAACTATTTATATTTGATTGAATACCAAGTTAAACATTTCACATGAGCTGGCGTGGCTGCTTAAAGACACTCATTTTTGTGTGTTAAAAGGCAGCAAAAAAACCCTTAATGATATGTCTGGCCTGCTATCACTGATGTGATTAGCGAGCACGTAAGCACATCTGAGTTAGCTTCACATTAGCTATTTCAAGTACCACTAGCACCACGGCGAGAGTCACGCGGAGCTCACCATAAGCTAACTATCTGCATTTATCCAGTGTCCGAAATGGCTTTTAAAATTCAGTGGGGACATGTGCCCTTCAGTCACTGAGCCATGTTTAAGGATCCACTTTCATACGATGTCAGTGAAGATAAGAGGAACTTTGCCCCTGGCTCCAACCGGAACAACTAAGTGATGGTAACAAGCTGAAATGCCCTAAAGAGTCAATACTCAGCATGTCTTACTAATAGAAAATGGAATATTTAATTGATCTAAAATAATATGTTTTAGGGATAGAAATGATGAACTCCAAAATTTGTGTTCTTTCCTTTCAACAGCCTGAGTAAAAAGCACGCTTGTTTCTCACAGGGAATACTTTTCCTCTCTGCATTTCTTCCAGTGAGTTCAAAATCTCTGAGTTCTGAGAAAATTCAAAATAAAGCAGAAGTTGACTCTACATCATTACCTATTTGTAGTTAAACCTGGGCCAGATATCTTATGAGGATATGAAACGGCCCATTCAAGTATCAAGGTTTACGATGAAAATGAAAATTTATTTTATTACTGAAAGCTATCTTATTGCATCAATCAGAAAATGCAAATAAAGAGGAGAAGAAAAGACACCTCATAAGGAACAATAATTCATTAACGGGTTTTAAAATATGTGAAGAAACTATACGGGATCCCTTGCTTTAAACATAATTTCTCTCAGACTGCAGTACTCACTAATTTAAAGCACATACTGTGTTGAAGGAGCTCTGCTCTTCTAAGCTGGAGGACTTTAATTCTCCAGTCTTTGAGGTTACAACAAACATCTCTCTCCTACATTCACAGCAATGTTCATACAAACAGAACTCTTAAGAGAAATCAAATGAATCCACAAAGCTATGAACATACTTCTATCTTTGTTTCTTGGGGGCGGGGAGGGGAAAGAAGAATTTTTTGTAGTTACACAAGTTATAAGCCACAAATTGAGCAGAACCAGAGACAAAGCGTATTCTCTTTTCTCCTGCTTTTTGCTAACTGGTAAAAGGGGAGTATTTTCTTTACACTATTCCCCAAAAGCCAGCGATAGGAGCAGCTCCATCCTGATGCCGCACCGCTCGCGCCCGCTGCCAGCCCAGGACCGCTTCTTGTCTCTACGCACAAAGGAGCAATCAGAAACCCAGGGTGAAATAGGAAGACTGGGGTGGAGCAAGGATCTGCCAGCAACAGACAGAGAGATAAAGTGTGATTTACTGGCTCAAATAAAGATGCCAAAAACATGTGGTGATTTATTTATTTTACTGGGAAAACTGGATTCTCAATCATAAAACGATAACATAATAACAATGAACTCAACAGTATGGACTGGAATATTAAACCTGCAAACCCAAGTTTGATTGGATGCCAATATTAACAGAATTAATGAAAAAGCAAAACAGGCTTCAATTACGGATCAGCAAACAAAACATCCCTTGCTTATACCTGCTGGTTTTGAAAGAAATCAGTGTCTATCTCTTGTAAATCATTAAAACCAAAATGCTCAATTAATCCTTATTTTATATGTAGAGGCCTGACAGAGGCAAAGTCCTATAGCCATACCTTTGCTTTACGAATCAAAGCAATAACGGTTTCAGAAAGCAGTCACACTCTATGAGCAGACAATTGAAGAGATTTAGTAAATCCCACTTTATAGAGCAGAGACTAATCGGAAAACACAAGCCAGTCAAATGTTTCTTATGAACTGTTGACACTATATCAATGCTGAATCAATTGGTGGCATTTACTCTGAGTGACAGAAAAGAAATAAATATTTATATCACATCACCTATATCAATGAACCTAGGCAGAAAGCTATTTCTAACCTGTCAATATTTGATTATCTTGAAGAATCATGTCCCCTTCTTTTAATGATTAATATGAATTCCTTATTAAACCTAAATGGAAACTACCAGAGGAATATCATTATGAACGCCTGAAAGCATAAACTGCCAAAAAATAATAAAAAATAATAACCCAACCCATATTTAAGTAATGGTAAGTGTGACTTAATCCCCCCAAATGAGGAAAAAGTTAAAGTTACAACTAGAAACCTATCTCCAGTTACAGATCCGTGTATTTTGCAGAACACAGTGCACCATAACATAAAGAATTTTCTCTCGACAGAAAGCAGTGTCACTCTTACCACAGCAGGGTGACTAATAGGCAGTATTCAAACTTATTTTTTATTTTCCTTTTTTTTTAATGGGTTTAAATAACATTTTCTAATATCATAATAAGAGGTTTGGCTCCTTCACATCTTTCTAAAATTCTACTACACAGAAAAGACATCTGTAAATCTATGGCAGGGCACACAAAACGCTAATTTCTATTGCTTAGAACAAATAAAATACCAAATTCAGCTTACGGACTCAATCACAAAAAGATGGCTTTTACTCATGTTCAGTAAGTCTATTTAAAAAAAAATAAAAATAGTACTATTGGAGTAATTATCAACTTGGTTTTAAAAGTTCAGAAGCATGCTGCTGGTACTTACATAATTTTAAGTTATCCAGAGAAATGTATTGTTTAGTTTTAATTTTGAAACATTAACAAATCTACCTGGTAGGAATCCGTGAATATTAAACTAAGTCTGCACGTAAGGAATGCTGACAAGCTTAAAAATACATTTCTAAGCTGTATTCAAAGGATTCAGTGCCAAATAGGCAAGGCTGCAATACCGGGCTGTTCGACTCACATTTTAGAGGGGCACTCTCATCTATTAGACCACAATGTTACAGGTGATACTGAAGGACAAGCATGAAGACCAGCCTTTATCTTCTTGACACGCTCAACTACAACTACTTGATTCATGAAATGCCAATGAGGCTTGGAGAGGTCATTGTGTGAAGGCACTGAATACGCATCTGAGATAATTAAGATTTCAGCCTTCGAAACATGGAGGGGAAGTGAACAGCAGTTAAGAAAATCAATAAGAGTCTTTTATTTGCAGTGACACAGATGTCTCAGTCAATAGAGCCTAATAGGCAAGCTTGATCGCAATGGACAGGTGCCTGCCTCCAAGGCTATCAAAGGGCTTTCACTATGACAAACATTAAAACATATTTATGTTGCTGCTGAAGAATCTGGGGTTCTTTTAAGGTAGTTTAATTTAACGGTGTATATTTAACATCATTACACTACTGCAAGCCTGCCCATACATTCACTCAGAATGGGTAAGAAATGATTGTTCTGTTTGGCCAGGACATCCACTTGTCCATCAATTGTTACATTAAACTTTTCGCTTCTGGGTGCCAGAATCTGAATGCCTGGAACAGGAAGAAAAAGTAACAAGACAGCTTTCTACAACTTTGGGGGTTTTTTTCATTTGGGGTTTTTTTTTGTTTGTTTGTTTGGGGTTTTTTTAATATTTTTTTAAGAATCTGCAACATAAGGTGATTTCAAATAGTACAGAGCAGTTCCTTGCAAGAACCTGCTAAATATTTAAGTATCTACAGCCCTAAAGAACACGAAGGTCATTCTAACTGAGCAGTTGACTTAGTTATTCAAAATTGATTAACTTTCTTCCCTGAAATTGTGGCAGCAGTGCAACATGTGTGAGGTACTTCAATCTATTTGGAGCTAAATCTGATTAGCACATTTTGAGAAATGGGAAGCAAATTGCTATGCCAATCAAAGTAAACCAGGACACATAACTCATTCATATCATGAAGGTTTTCATGGTCCCTCCAGTTCTGTATTAAAAGAACACATTACAACTAAATGAGCAGTAAGCATCTCTCCACCTATTTGTGGTATGCCAATCACTGCAGTATTAGGCAGTAACGAGACACGCATGTAGCCAAGACTCAATTCAGTGCACCTACCTGGCCATTTGCAAGTATTTTCTTCAGCTCTGCAGAAGACTTTTTTAAGCTGAAAAAAATAAGAGGCAATTATTTTTAATGACTACACCATTTCACTCTACAAAATGAAGTGAAACCATAAGGAACAACAAGCCATCAGGTTAAGTTCATGGTTACATATTCTAATAGATTTAACTTCAGCAATACTGACTGATGTTCAGTAGAGCCACTCCTGAAACTGCAGACAGCAGAAACAGAGAAGCAATGAACGCTTAAGAAAATAAATGTTTTTTTCTCCTTTACAAACTAGCTTTTTTAGATACCTGACTATACTACCCTTTGAGATACAACTCCGTGTTTGTCAGTTCAAAGAACAACAAAGAAAAAAGATACCCTCACACACCAGGTGTTCAACAAAACAACAGGACAATAAGGTTCACATCTAGTTTTACAGGTGCCTTATCTTGTTTTAAAACCCTTTAAGGCATTATCCCTCAATAATTTCTATAAACCTGCAGCAGAAGGGCATGCCGCCGATGATGCCTCACTACCTCAACTGACTGCAGACTGGAGCATGGTGAGCAGGTGAGTACAACTCCTGATTTAGGCATCTAAGGGACCTGCCTAAAATTGACGGGAGGTGAGTCCAGGCTGCCATGTGCATCCATTCCAGGACAACTTGCTGCTGCAGTCCCTGCGCTCTTTCAGGAAAAACTACTCCTGCGTCAGTAGTCTCGTATTAGGCAAAATGACACGTATTATTTTTTTCTAGTAAGAGAACTTTAACAAACCACAACTATCAGCTTGGTGCATTTTGTGTGTAAAACTATTAATGGCTTCAAACTACTTCCACCCACTCGCAAAATACCGCTTCACCTCCTTTCCTGACAAACTCTCTTCCTTGTACGTTCAACACAACAAACTGCCTGGGTAGCAATATGTCTGCAAAACTTAATCTCAAAGAGACATTCTGCTCTTATTACTGAAGTTAAAAAAAAAAAAAGTACAAAATAATATATTCTTGAAAGGCATGTGTATGTGTCTTGATCACAGATCATTATTAACAGGAACAGTGAAAACACAGATTTCATATTTGGCGGCTTTGTTCTTTAATAGGCCTCTTGTTCCCACGACTACTTTAAAGAAAAATTAAGTTTTCCAAGGAAACATAAGTTGATCTTGTCATCTTTCATGACTAACAATTTGTGAACATGAAACAAAGAGAGACTTTCAATTACTTCAAAAACAAAACTCGTAGTGCAGAAGGTTTCGGAAAAGGAATGGCAATTAACCACCAAATAAGGTGACAAGAATCTTCTAGAAGCCTCATTTTCAATGCACTTTAAGAACAAGCTCAAAGCACAGGAAGTACTGAAAGCCAAAGCACAACAGCGACAGAACGCAGCTTTATTTAGTTCAGCGGTATGACAGATTGGGAGGAGGACTGCAGGTCATAAAGACATTCAGATTTATTTTCTTTAAAGGGTCTTGGGTAGGATCTTCACCATTGCAATACACAGCAAATCCTCCCCAAGGGATGGGGGCAAACTTTGCCAGAGGAGACTGACACAAGGTACTGGCATTCATTTTTTATCCCTACCGTTAGCAAAGCCACTAAAGGGAACATCAGGACTGGTTTTAGCAGTACCTGAATGGGGACTACCTGCTACAGCACAACTCCAGCACTGCTGCCAACCATGTGGGGTGGCATCCTCCTTGTCAACGGGCAACCACGTCACATCGCTCCCACCACGCAGAGACTGGGTGTGTGGGGCAGTCCCACCACTGCAGCACTTCGCGGTGTCTGCCAGAACGGGTACCGACACTTCACCGATTGAACATGCTTAATGCAGGATGACTGTGCCTTTGATCATGTTCATCTCTGTCACTTTTTTTTTTTTTGAAAATGCTCTCAGAGAGAAAAGGGAGCAGCATGCTGATGCAAGATAAATGTAATATTATATGCTTATTAGAATAACAGAATAATTTAGGTTGAAAGGGACCTCCAGAGATTTCTATTCCCATGTTTCAAATGTGTTCTTATATGAAGAAGACGGAGCCAGACTTTTCTTACTTCCTTTTAAGAATCCATTTTTTGTGGGTTTTTTGTTTATTTGTTTTAACATCAGTATTGAGTATAATGACTTCCTGCAACAGTTCATGTAATAAAAGGGACTTTATGCTCCAGTATTTAAAAACAGATCTCTAAGAGAAAAGAGTTCTCCTGCATTTTAAGATCTTAATACAAGTTTTGAAATTAGGACTGGAATCTAAAAAAGAAAGTAAGAGAGATGGACTTCAAAACTTCATGGAAACTGTATGAAACAGGGCACCGAAGCTGTTCAGCTTTTTAAAAAGTCTTACACAATAATATACCTACTGAATTGGGTATCAAATTTTAAAATCAAAGAATCCTGAATAAGACAAGCAATGAGGACCTGAACATACAAACCTTGCTATAGACAGTGATTATTAGATCAACTAAAACAAATTAGCTCACCCACAAACAGTATTTCAATGCTTTATAAAGGACAAAGCCATCTGAAATACCCAGCAAAGACTTCTTTCTTTCAACAGAAAATACTTCTCCTGAAGAACCAGCAGTACAAGTCTAACAAGATCCATGAATCAAGGCGATTTCGTCTTCCCCACTTTACTCCTGCGTGCCCAGTAGTCATATTGAAAAAGTTATTCAACATCAAGCTTATCGTTGGTAACTACCACACACAAGGTTCCATTTTGTTTTAATAAAAGAAAAGAAAACAAAATATATGCTCCCGTTCTTGACTCTTACCTATTGCTTGGGAGGGAATCCGAGACTGCCGAACTGCTATTATTAGCAGAACCTGCTCGTGTATTTACCTGCAGGCAGGGAAAGGATCTTTATCAGTCGTTTGTGTTCAGAGGACACTATTCTAATTAACCTGTAATTTGCCATGAATTTCTCATTTCACTATGAAGGTTAATTAGCTTGTTGCTAGGCATGCCGATGGTTGAGGTCTCGCCTGTATGTAGGTTAGCAGGCTATATAATTCACGGACTACATTATGCTATCTTTATATCTTAAACGCTTAGTTACATAATACAGAAAAAGAGATGGTATGTCCACCATTTATTCTCATTTTAAAAATTAAACTATCATTTCATATATATGTGGTCTTCTGCATTTCAAAACGAGTATGATTACAGAAACAATAAGCATACCTGAATGAATCAAACAACCTAAAAGAATTTCATTGTAGTGCGTTCCACACTTCGATAAATTACTGAAATCAAATTAATATGGTGAGTTTTTTTTAAACTCTTTGAAGTAGCGGCAGACATTAGTTGATAAACTGAATATTAAAATTTAGGAACCTTATTAACATAGGTTAGAAACAAAAAGAAAAGCAATTCCATTTTTAATAAAACTGTATATATAGATATCACAGCCAACACCCAGCAGATGAATTCTTCTCCCACCCTCACCCTAAAAAAAAAATAAAAAAAAAATCTGCTTGTCAGAGCTCAAGAAAGTGCAGTTTTATTTGACATTTCAATAAGTGGAACACAGCATTACAAATCCATCTAACTTTACTGAAACAATTATTGAAATTCGTACCTTCAGGCCATGTATGTTCCGTTTCCCAGGAGGCTTGCAGGCTGAAACAGTAATTGACTAAATTGTAGAACACATCAGGGCCATTTACAAATTTGCTCAAAATGAATCTTTTAAAAAGAAATGAGGGTGACACCAAAATTAGCAGAGAGAAATGATTGAAAAGTGCCTCAAAAGACCCAGAGTGGGAATTATGAACCAGGATTTTTAACTTGCAGGAGTGAGCATTTATAAATGCTAAGAGCTTTCTGACACCATGTAATATAAATTCTAATTTCTGCTTAAAACACATCAAAAAAATCAAGAGAACTGTTGGCTTAAATTATCAGATTCTTTTTGTAATTCAAATTAAAATCTTATGTCACTATATTTTCACATGCTGTACTTTTTCTGGCATTTAACAGAAACATTTGCCAGATGTATTTAAATAGAATCAGCTGCCACACATCACATTGTCAAATGCAGACAGTTTGGTTTAAATGTGGAAAAAACATGTCAGGGACAACAGCAGTGAGTCTCAAGAAACCCAATACTGGATAAATGCAATAGAAAATGCCACATTTTGGACAGAGATGTACAAATGTGGCATCTTATTATGATGTCTAGGTTTACAGAGGGACATGCTGCTTGAGAAGAAAACATTTTCCTGAAGTCTCTCGAACTATATATCGCCCTGTTCTGCCGTTCGGTGGATGTGCTTTTGTCAAATGTTAAAACCACAAAGGCTTCTAGCTACATGTTACAGACAGTTCCCATTTTAAAACTACAGTGCCCTACAAATTGTATGTTAAAGGGCTTGTCACTTTTGATTGATTGTCTGAGGAGGGATGAATTTGATTTTTCTCTTTCTCTGATGCACATGCATTTCACTTCAATTTTTGACAGCAGGAAACAGAACTATTTATTAGTCAGAAGGACACAGATGATAGTTATTAAACACATCAGTTAGGGCTAGGCCATGTGCCTTTAAATGGCATTAGAAATTACCATGTGCATCTTAAAGAAGAAAAATATTATGACACTGTGGGCATTAAAAAAAAAATAACCAGAACAATAAACTACTCTAAAATATATATAAGCATATTGTATTTTGTCCAATAGATTAAAATCAACATTTTGAATGAGATATTAAAAGAATATATTTTTTTATTATGCATGTTTGAATGGTATATTCACCTGCATTCCACAGATAGGATATATATAACATAGACAAGATATTAATATATATTCATGTTTGTGTGTATGCACTCACACTCTTGTCTATGTATATGCATACACAGAGTTTATTTTCAGTATAAAAAAAAAAGAACTCTGGCTCTTCCTACCCAGACAGCAACAATGAATTTATTTTTTTTTTAATAGACAAAAATACCAATCTTTCCCCTTAAAGCATTTTAAATTATCAAATGAATACAGCACAGCCAAGGTAACACAGGATGGCACACGGACATTTACTACTGGCAGGTTTTACGGAAAACATGAGTTTTCAGAAGCTGACTGGAGACAGCAACTGGGAGGCTTCCTCAGAAGAGAGGCAGAAAGGGAAAAAAAGACCCAAAGGAAGACTGGGCTTGCAAAGAAAGTTCTTAAAAAGGGAGAACCTTAAATTACAGGCAGAAAAGCTGCACGTTACTGATGGGACTTCGAACTGCAGTATGTAGAGAGATGTGGCCAAAAGGGCATGAAAGGAAAGTGCTTGCACTAAGAAAATTTGGGATGTTCATTACAGAGGCAGGACAAGACAACAGAAAAGAAAAAAAAAAATATATGCAGAAAAGCACATTTTGTTCGATACTGCAGAAGAGCAGCAGCAGAACTTAGAGGTGATCTGGGTACGAAGGAAGCACAGGGTAGCTTTAAAGCTGTAACCTAGAAAGAATAGATGTTTTCAGAAGACGATTTGGAAAAATGAAACAGCAACTCAGCTCTGAAGCAATTTAGAGGAAATACCAGCAGATATGTGTGTAGTTGAGCCAATGGTGAAATGTGCACATAACACATGGGGAAAGTAGCCTCAGCAGCATGGAGATGAATACTGAATGTGTACAGTCAAAGAAGATTATCCTTGGATGGAAAGCAAATAGAAAAAGGAGAGAGGAGTAGGAGTAGGAATCTACTTGGCTGGTTCTTCAGGAATGACCCAAGAGGAGAAACTAAAAGAAGGTTAAGCCTGATTTGTAATCTCACAACGTCCCTTTAAACACTCAAGCATGCCAGCTACCCAGCACTTCCCGGCACAACCTCCTCGAAGCGTTTGCTTAAGGGGAAGTATACCCAATTGCCTTGTACTTCCAAGAAGAGTTCCCCACCAACTAGGACCATCTACTATATCAGTTTCTCCAAGCCACACGAGAGCCTAGCATTTTATTTCTTGCAAGTGGTGGTCAGCGGTTATAGACAGAGTGTGTGTCAGTAATTAAATGGCTTCCTACAGAACGAGGTTCAGGAGAAAGGCGGAGACCCTCGCATCTCAGCCTGGGAAGAGGCAGAAGATAGCTTCCCTCTTCATAGCTGTTCTTACACTTGTCTCACGAGACCACATCTCAACTGCTGATTGCTCTGGAGTCCTGCAGCTCAAATATCCAGGAGTCTCCCCTCTCAATCAGATCCTGCTAGGCCGAGTCATAAAAAAAAAATAATCTCCGTATTCCCCTTGAATTTAAGTGTCTTTTCCATAGGAGCGTACTAAACTACCAGGACACCCAGCCTCCTTTTGAGACCTTATTAGCATGTGTTTGAGAAGGCTGTTGGTTAATTGCCCAATTCAAACTTCAGAGAGTTGTAAGTAATGGAAGTCTAGAATGTTTAATTGGGAAACTCATAGTATGATTATTTGTATAATATCAGTTAAGTGAGAAGAGCTTAATTTTTAATTATTTCAATTAATTTATTGCTGGAAGATTTACTTGGAGAATTTAAACCTTATCTGTTTCATCAATTAAGAATCAGAGATTCAAAGACTGGATACTGAGAGCATCTGAATGAATCAGCGGAATTATGTAATGTATTAAGTCTTTTTTTTAACCATTATGTGAGTTCAGAGAGAGCAGTGCATTCCCAAAAACCTAACTAGCTGCCTACGGATTTTTGTTCAGGATGTAGATGACCTATTTTTTAATTGCCTCAGCCCACATAATTGATTACATCTTTCCCTGTTCAGGAGAACTATTAAAGTACTAGTGATCATTTTGATACCACAAAGTGCCCAAACCTCAAATAAAATATGTCACGCATAGAGCTTCTGTGACAGACATGTTCCCATTTTCAGAATGAAAGACGACGGTCACATTCCCCAAATCTGTTAGACTGATTAATGATATTAAAAGATCTTAACAAAACCCAATTTTCCTAAGTATCCAAAACGTGATTCATCTGCTTTGGTTTGAATACATGCAGAACCATCACCAATGAGTTTTTTAAACGTACATAAATATGTACTATGCAAACTGAATCTTGTTAGTCTAATTTACTCCACTAAATCAGCTATTTCATATGCAATAAATGTAGTTTTCACTACGCTCCCAATAACGAATTCTTCTATCCAAATTAAGAGGTAAACATCACGTTACGTGCATTTAAACCTCCCAAAAACATAACTGTTGATGAAATAGTTTATTGATAACATCGTTGTTGATCAGAATTTGTTAAGCATTACCTCTTGGATATATCTGTAGAGGCTCTATTAACTGTCCATTTACTTGCTGTTCCATTACAGTGGAGTAATACTGCAAAGAGATTAAAGAAAGAGATTACTCAGTAATGTACGAATAGTAGTAAGAGCACTTACGGACTGTTTAATTCAATGTTTTTTTGGTTTTGTTTTTTAAATTGCCATAGTACAGACCAGCATTTAGAATGCTTTACCATTTGCCGTGTTCACACAAGAAAGTGGCACAGGAGGAACACAACCAAGGGGCTGCGATACCCAGCACGGTTCTGACTCCAGCCCAGGGATCTGTTCTTGGCCCAACTATGCAAGTTCCAGGCCCACCTGAAACCTGGGAATGCTTCAGAGGAGTGAGCAAATGAAACGCTGACAGCAAACAGCAGCTGCCACACCTGGAGAAGCCAGGAAAACCAGTCAAATGTGCAAACAAAGAAATGCTGTCAATATAGTAAAAAAAATGTGCAATTAGGAAAACTCCAAGGGAGAAAATAATCTGGAAACTATCAAGAATTTGCAGTGATGAAGCACGGTCAGGGCAGCCAGGGCCACACCCCACGTAAGCGGAGGTGTCGTGCGTTCCCTTAGCGTACAAATTTAACGCACGGTAGGGTACGCAAAACAGTGTTACTAGAAAGCAACTGCAGACTTACGGAGTCCTTGGACTCCCCAGAAACTGCTAGCAGTGATCTGGGGGGGGGGAAGTTTATCGATAAAGAAAGGCTAAGAATGGACAAAAACAGATGCAAAAGTATCTGAGAACACCAAGATCCAAGAAGACAGAAAATTCGCAATGTAGTATGAGGAAGCCTGAGAAGTGGCACAAGGATGAAGAACGGCATTAAATGAAGAAATAAACATTTCAATTAAATACAGTGAAATCTTTATTAGCCTTTTTTAATTGACCCTCACTCCTAAAAAGACATGAACATTCACCAGCCACAACATTTTACGACCAGACAATCCCAGGGCAGGAGACAGACCTTGCTACGATATTACTGTCTATAACCTGACACATCTCTCATCACAATGTGTTAAATATTGGAAGCACATCACAAAGCATGCTTCTTTTGTGATCGCCAAACGTCTTTGAAGCAAACATGCTGGCTGTGGGCCAGATCTTCATGGCATAAATCAGTGTGGCTCCACTGACTTTCATGCTAATTCTCACCAGCCGAGTGTGGTCTAAGACTTCATCATGTCACTGTTACCAGCGTTTTGTGATACTATTACTCAAACTGGCAAGAATGGATGTCAACAAGGAAAAAAATTCGAAGTCTCTATGGAATCAAACACATGTATTTCACTCACACCAATGGCTTTCCATAACACAAGCATTTTTACTTACGCAACTTAAAAAAGACAAAAGTTTATTAACGACCTAATGTTACAAAACATTTTTTTTCCCCTCTTAGAACGGTATTTAATATGTGAACTATAGTAAGCAAATGTTAGATGGACAAAGTCAATTTATATGCAGAAGTTTCTCAGTGCTTCCGTTTTTCACATCCATGTCAACAAACAGGAAGAAATCTCCTTTTTGTTAAAATACTGTTATGAATAAAATTGCTGAGGGTTTAAGGATTCGCCCAGCCCCACCTCCTGCATGTACATCAAGTACGATGCCTGCTGCTAAAAGTATTTCCCTCATTAAAATCTCACCGCAAGATTTTTGAGCGGGGCATCTCATTCATATTAGCGCACAGACATATAAATCCAAATCTTAAATAACCGCGTGACACATGCTTTCGTTGTGCTTCTACAGAGCAAAGCTATTCATTACAAAAGTCCACTCTTTTGCAATGATCAAGAGGTTTTTCGGGAGTCAGGACTACCTTGTAGACTTATTCTGCATCAGGGCGGGTCATGAATAACATGCCAAATCCATCCCCACGTCCTCATATCCTCTCATAAAAATGTGTCACCGGTACCTAATAGTTGTGGAGCTGTGAAAGAAGCTCCTGCTCCACTGGGGGCCAAAACTGCTTAAGAAAAACAAACTTTTTATTTACCATTTTAGTAGTGGCATTCTATGACCTGAAGACATACTATGACCTGAAGACATACATATGCACAGTATAAACATATATGACATACTCTCTAGAGTACTAAACTAAAATAAATGTATATGAGACTGTTTCCTACCAAAAAAAAAGGAAGACAAAAAAAAAAAAGAGGGAGAAAGAGAGAAAAAACCACGACCCTCTCCATTACTCAAACACTGATGACAAGTAAATGAAATATCAATCATGTAAGCTGTCAACCTTTTGGGACAGCAATAACTGTTAACAAGTAGTCTGGAAAAATTGTCTGAAAATGACTTGTCCTCCACACATGAGCATTTGAGGTTTCCATGGAAAATTAAGATGCCAGTGGCTATTTGGAACATTGTTCAGGTATTCTTTTTAATGGAAACTTTGCCAGTTATTGATCCAGAGCATGTACCCCTTGCTTTCAGAAAGCTGCAAGCAACTTTCCAATCAGTGGCTGTCAAAAAAATTACTGCCTTTTTATACTGATACAAGACAACAGCTAAAGTGCAACTCCACTGCTACTCAATGTGTGTCTTTAATTAACCGCAATGTGCAACAGAAAAATAATTTTATTTAACATTCCACAGTATTTGCATAGGCATAATACAAAGTACTTCTGCATACTCTAAAATAATTCCAGAACTGCCTGAAATCACTTACTGTCAACTTCAGAAACCAAAGAACCTGAAAACAAGAGGTCGTGCATGATTCAAAACATCTTCCCAATTACAGTGTCACACCTGCATGGAAGAGATCTGTATTCTCAGGGAACTATTTTATTGCTCTTAAACTGAAAGAAAACCCTTCACTTTCATTTTGGAGAATACTAGCAGAACTGGAGGCAAACTGCACCATGTCAAAATTCCTAGAAATATTTTAGCAGCTGCTTATTCCTCCAAATATTTGTTGCAGGCCTCAAAATACTCAAAAATAAGTATTTTTCTTCCCCCGTATATTCTTCAAGATTACAGTAGATTCGTTCCTTTTCTTGTAGGCTAAGAACATCTGTTTTCTTATAAACATATCCCTGAATGACACCTATAGGATGTTAGAAAGTTAAACCATCAATGCAACACTCAAATAGAAAACTAGTTTAAAACTGAAGGGAAAATTTTCAGAGAAGAAAAGCTGCCGAAGCGGAAAGAAGTCATTTACAAACATCCCATAATTTTTGAGGGAAAGCGGAGAGTTGAGCAATCATAACTCTAATGTACTGAAACTTTAACAGTAAGCTTGGAAGCATAGCAAAAAGATGACCTTACAAAGGCATGATTAATCTTAAGACTGTGCCAGGAAAAATCAAGTTTCCCAGTTTAACGGCAAAAATGGCAGACACTGGCGGGGGGGGGAAGTCGACGAACACAAGGAATTCCAGTGGGGAAGCATCACCAGTGATATAGTGGTATGAAACAAAACAAAAACCTCAAACAAGCACAAAACCTTCTTGACTGCAGCAAGATTTTTCTTCCTTTCTTTCACACAACTGTCTTACAGTCTTTCACGTTAGACTTGTAATACAATGGTTTCATCTCCTCTGGAAAGAAAACTGCATGAGAGGAGCTTATTTAATAAATCCCTTGAGTTTCACAGAGATCAATCACCAGCATCTGGAACCTGCACTTCTTTCACCCCAGGATTAAGTCACAGGCAATGACTAAAGCCTCTTCGAAGTAGGGTCTGCTAACAGACTTCCAGTCAACGAATGTCCGCTCCGGTCTTCACAAGGCTCAAACAGTACAATCTCTGCAGATACCAAAAGGATCAGAATTCACTGAGAAAGCTTTCCTGGAGCCTAGAAAACACAAGCCCCCTTCATAGGAAATGTCGATCATTTCATGTACTTACGTGCTGAGTTCACAACAACAAAACCACATTGTTTCGCCAAGGACTAGAGAGCTCTGCCCCAGAGGGATCCATTAAGCAGAGCCTCAGGCAAGACGTAGGTGATCCAAGCATGTCCCTGCTCTGCTTCCTCTACAACGCAGAACGGACGAGGAGGACTAAACTGAACCAAGTCATTACGTCCCACCTACGAATGGAACTAAACAGGGCTTGTTTCTGGTATGTTCCAAGTTAAGACCACTAATATAGCGAGAGCTGCACTTTATAAGGAACTGACAGTTCATCTGGCTTAGAGAGAAAATACCCATTCGTTATTTTCTTGCTTATCAATTTCACTTGAAAGGATATGTTAAATGATTTTTTTCCACTTAGATCTGCAACATGAAAGATACATTGAAGCTATATTCACATTATTTTGTTCCAATAAGTAACTGCATACTTTTACTTCTGTAGACAGATTGTATATTTATAGGTACCCACACAGAGGTTTTACATGCATCTATGTATATAAAGGCACGCACAGGCATACATATATCTCATTATTAAAAAAAAGAAAATACGTCTTTAAATCCTCTATGAATATTGAGCCTGCAGCTACAATGAAACTCTTCCGTTAAGAGGGGTGAAACAGTCTCCAGATGAAAGTAGATTTTGAAAAATTTTTAGAGCCCAGGGGTTCATTTTTAATGAGCCGTTACTTTAAGTACTGCATAAAAAATATAAGAAATTGATAGTCCATTTAGCCTGCACTATACCTAATGCAAAAGTCATTAAGATGCATTATTCTTAATGTTTATGATATGATCAGTAAGTGTACAAGTCTTTTTTTTTTTTTTTTAAAAAGTCAAGCATGTCCATATATCTCATGTGATATGGTTTTTAAACACCTACACTTAATACAATACTCTTAACTTAATACAGGAATATTGTACTGTGAACACTGCAGCTTATGTTAACACTCTGATACAAGCAAAAATACATAAACAGAAACGGATAAACATGGGAAATATCAGCATTTGTTATACTATACCTACATAGGATAGCATGGCTTTCATCTCTTCATCACTTCTAACAGTAATCCGATCACCATCCTCATCTTCATCTAACAAAGAAATGTATTACACTCATGAACAATGGAAGAAGGATATTTACAATTTTAGTATGCAAGGTTTTTATCTGGATTTTTAGAAGCAAATGAAAATACAAAGAATGTATAAGCCAACTACACAGGTAACCAGGTACTCCAAAATAATAACGTACAATGACTCCAAACATTAATTAACAGAGACTACAATTATATCTAAAAAGGAGGCATGAACAAAGTACTCAGAACTTTGCTCTCAACAATTCTTTTACTGCCAGAATGTCTCCAGAAGCCGAGCGCCTTACACGTGCTATAATATCCCTTGCTGAAACCCATCAAGGTATTCTCTTGACACAGTAAACAACGTTTCTGAGTGTGCTTTGATCCTCCCAGATGGAGTTAAGTTTTGGTAGTTTCTTTCATCAGAATTACTAGAAATTGAAAAAAAAAAAAAAAAATTAAATTGTTTTCCTCCCACTTAAACCTTCTGGTCATACTGTCAACCCCACCTCAACTCACTTGCCCCGTGTCATCCCTCTTTGCTCCCATCCCTGTTGCAAGCACATGGGCATCTCTGCTTCTTTGTGACAGAGCAAGGCTGACTTATACATGGTAACTTGTAAGTGGACACAAATCCGCAATGTTTATATAGAGAAATTTAAATGAAGTTTGTGAACAAGCAAAACGAGTCTGTGTCTTTGTTCATAGCACAACTGTGGGTGAAGAGGAGGCAGGTGCTGTAAGAGGA